AGGGGGATTGGAGGGTGAGAGAAGGAGCAGGCTTACATTGCGGCTGTAGGGTAGCCTATCAAAGAGGCGTCATGACAGACATATCCCGCTCATACAGAGCTGGGTCCTTCTAGGCACAGTAAAGAAACCAGGATCCGACAGAATAGATCAAAAACAAAAACACTTGTGGCGAATTTCCCAGCCAAATTTCTGCATAACTTAAACTTAAAGTTCACCCTCAACGCCCAGCAAGAGAGACCTACATGGAGCTAGCATCATCAAGATTTTCAGAAACAAAAGCTCGTGTTTAGCGTTTTGACTCTTATTCAGCATGACTCACTAGATGGATAGCTAGTTTCGCCTTTAGAAAGAACAATGGCCAACGCGCAATGGTAGGAAAGCTAGAACGGGCGAGAAGCAAACAAGAGAAGGGCTCACCTTTCCGGGGAAAACAACAGGTGGGTGAAGTTCAGAGACAAGTCCAAATAGCAAGGGCATAGATTAAAAAATAGTCAGAAACGCACTAAATCCGAGGATTGCTAAAACAAGATGAGCAATATGTAGATGAAGAAAGAGCCCGGACTATCTATCTAGCATCAAGAGCTGGCGGGGAAACCAAAAGACATGGGAAGAATGAAAGAACGAAGTAAAGCAAACCCCAACAATAATACAAATTCCTAACGCAAGGCATGGGTGAAAACTCATTTTTGTTGACCAGGAACAATTGACACACACGCGTGGGTATATTCGAGACAATTCGTCGATATATTGGACCTACATGACCATTCTAGGATCCAGAGCCGAAATGTCGGCACTCGTCGCCTTTCCATCAAAAACCAGCTCGCTAATAACCTTGCCCGTTGCCGGCGCATTGTGGATTCCCCAGCAGCTATGCCCGGAGGCGAGCAGCAATCCGTCTATCCAAGTATTTCCAATCAGAGGGTTCCCCGAGGGCACGTCCACGGTCGGCAGGTAACACGCCCTCCTACGCGTCACGACACCGTCGCGGAGCTCGTCCGAGATGCTCGCGACAGCCTGCTCGATCAGATCGCACGCCGCATGGTCGATCTCGACCTCGTCGGTGCCGGCTGGCAGCGGCACACGCTCGTCGCTCTCTCCGGCGATGTAGACCTCGTTGTTGGGGCGGGAGTAGATCTCCGGGCTCACAACGCGCACAAACGGCCGCGAGCCACCCTGCTCGGCCTCGGAGAGGTAGTCTCTTGCGGCTGACGCAGGGTCGTGGACGGATGCTGTGTGGACGGGTGAGGCCGCTTCATCTGAAGGGACAGTGATGTCGGTGAAGAGGCAGTAGGCTGAGAGGGGACGGTTGGGCTTGATGGTGACACTGTGCGCTCGTAACGCGCGGATGGGCACTGAGGGGAGCAGCGCGGGCGTCCATGGGCCCGCGGCTAGAATGACGATGTCCGCCGGCATGGCTATCGACTGTGCGGTGGGTTTGTGGATGTAGCGGACGCCCTTGACGACCTCGGCGCCGTCCTCGACAACGGACTCAATCTCCTCCACAGCCGCTTCCTGAATGACCTTGACGCCTTCTTTCTCGGCAAGCTTGGCCATCACTGAGGTGAAGAGGTAGGGCTGGACCTGGGCCGTCTCCTTCCGCGGCGCGATGTCCTCGTACTTAGAGATTCCATCCGCGCGGAACCAGTCTAGGTCCTCTGGCAGGTCGACACGTGCTGTGCCCTGGGGGTCTTTGTTGAGCTCTCTCTGCTTCCCGAGAGGCGCCCACGGGATCATCGTGCGAGCCCACGACAGCCAGTCCCCGTTACTGCTGGCTCTGCGCTGCTCCTTGTCCAGGTCACGGTCTCCCGCCGTGATCTTGCCGCAGCGTATGGTACGGAATCCCCAGGCCTTGGCGCCGTCATGTTTGGCAGCCAGCTCAGCATGGAGGTCAAAGCTGAGAGACACGAGACTGGCCGGGTACGCCCACTGGGCGAGGAGGCCACCCGCTTTGCCCGAGGCACCACCTCCTATGGACGTGGCCTCGAGCAGGGTGATGTGATGTTTGGAGGGAGAGTAGGCCTGGTGACGGGTGAGATAGTAGGCTATAGAGACGCCGATGACGCCGCCACCTGCAGAGATCGTGTGAGTTTCATATTCAGGCCCGCGGCCCGCCTCACTCGCAGGCCAGGCCGGGTCAACACCTCGCAGAACGGGAACTCACCTATGATGACAATGTTGAGATGTGACTCGCTGCCATGATTAGCCTCATGCCTAGCGGCACCACCACCACCACCACCGTGGGCGGTCATGGCTAGAGCGTGGGCGTGGGGCTGGGGCTGGAGGCCGGTGAGTGCCTGAAGCCAGCAGAAGAGAGGAGAGGGGAGACTCGAAGGGGCAAACGGCGCGTCAACGATCGATGCGGTCGGTGGGATCTCTGCACACGTTTTTTTTTTCCTGCCAGCCCTGCCTTAGCCGTAATATCTCCCATCGGCTGTGCTGGTCCCAAGGCCTGGAATGGGTCGATGCGAACAGATGGACTGGGCCAGCCAGGGCCGACTCTTTTTCGTGATTCGTCACTTGACGCTTCTACCCCTCCCGGCGCGCGCCACACAGAAGTGGCGCCATTTTTGCATTCTGCCCACCTGCCCCCTGCCTGTCAAGCCACACCGCCCGCTGCCCAACAGCGGGTCGCCGCGCCTGGCAGCCAGTGGGAGGCTGCTGATTGCTGCTGAAGGATCCCCAAATTCTCCTTTCGGGGGCTGCAATGCCTGCTAGCGTGTCCAGACCTGTGGCGTCCAGAGCAGAAAAAAAACTCCGGGCCTCCCGCGCTCGGATGTCGAGCCTTTTTTGCTGTTTGTGGTTTTGTGTGGTTTGTTGATGCTTTGTCATCCAGCTCGTGCCTACATGCTACCCTAGACCATTCGACTCACCCTCAAACTCTCACCGACTCTTCATTCTCTAGTCTAAAATTGCTTCTGTGTCTCATAAAATGAATGAGGCATCACTTGCCTCGCAATTGCTCACGATGATCTGTTTGAGGTTTGGACTCTCAAGTGTCTGGAAAATCACCTCGCTGCTGCTTTCCTCACTCATGCATCAGCCAAGGAAAGATTTTCGTGCCCACGCATGAATCAAGCTGAAACCTGTCTGAGAGATGAAACAGCAACCCCCCAAAAGCTTCATGTTCCTGATCAGCTGAACCAGAAACTGTTCATCTAAAAACACACATTTGTCTCTCATCTCGCCCTTTGCCTTCATGATTGGTCTGGATTTTCTGCACATCGACTCGCCCAACCTCAAGCTCTCATACCGCCAGCGCTTACCAGTGACTCACGGCCGATGCCGTCTCACAATCAGCTGGATCAGCTCAGGTAGGTGAGTGGGCTCTGCGGCCACGCTGATCATCAGCACCACCGGCGACGGCCGTCATGCTCGCGAGCACCTCACGCAGCCGCAAACCACAGATGGGTCGCAAGAAGAGGCAGAGAAGCTCTTTCTCACCCGCCAGCCTAGGATCAACATCCCATTCTCGGATGGATGCCCCGCGCAGAGGATTCCCCGACGCCCACGAGCACCGTGCCAGACGGTAGACCTGCCTGTCTCGCCTGTGGTGCGTTTATGCGTTCTCTGGTAGCGCTACAGGTTAGGCAGGTCGACCTTACACCGGGCCCGCGGGACGAAGAGCTTCCCTCACGCCGATGATGCCAGAAATATGGTTATTATTTTGGCGCAACACTGCGACCTGCCGTATTGACTGCGCGGTCCTTCGCGCTGGATCTCCGGGCCATCACAAATCCATGACGAGCCAAAAGGGTAGGAGATCACACTGGCAATTGGACAGCGCTTCCCTGGTGCCACGCCCAAACCCATCCATTCAACCATTCCTCTTCCCCCGAAGACAGTAAGCGCCCATCCACTATCGAGCACCCCTTTAGCCCCCTGTCAGCGCTCCCAGACGCGCTGATTCGCTCATGGCGGCCGAATTCCCCAGGCGGATGAAACGGGAGGTAGATCCGCGGACAGCCCTATGGTTTGCATTGTGAATGACGAGTATTGGCTGAGGACGGGTCTGCTCCCACTGTCGCAGGTTCCGGTGGGAAGCGTTAGTTGACGAGAGCCCGCGACGGGCTGCAGGTAAGTCTGGCAGCAGAAGGGAACTTGAGAGGAAGCTATTGGGGGAACTGGTCGCCAAGAGGACGATCGCACGCGAGCGCTGGCAGCGAGTAAGGATGACTAGCATCAATAATCCCGACAGCGTGGAGTGTGTACAGTATTGATTCAGGTTGGGACGGTGACATGCGACGAGGGTGCATCCAGCCAAACAGGCAGTGGGGGTCGAATGGGTGCCGGGCAGGCTTCTTGATCAAGTTAATTATGGAATGTGTGGATAGATAGATTGATTGACTCGGGGCTTTATCACACCCCTGGGGGATGCTTCTGCAGTCGTGATTTGATCATGGTATATGCTCTGAAGCCTGGGTCATCGGCCCACGGTGATGGTAAGTGTGGTGATGAGGGTGTTGTTCTATTCGCCGGATTTACCTGATACGGCGAGAGAGAGCCTTCCATCACATCACGGCACGCCCACGCCCAAGCCCACGCCCTTGCCAGTACGGGGAAGCTGGCGATGGGGAAGGATGGCGGGACCTGAGCTCTCGCACGCGAGTCTGCTTGTTGATGGCCGTAAGGCTAGCTGGGAGCGCACATGGAGGAGTTTTTCCACTTACTCGCAGAGAACCAAAATGTCTCAACATTGAGAGCCAGATATAAATATCGGACGGGCCCTTTGGCGGATGCATTTGCCGGCTGTCTGGCGGTTGAACCTTGGAGTATTGAAGCCCAGCCCATCACATCACATTATCGTCTGCTCCCTTATACTTGAGCCATAACCACTTCTTCCAAGTTGACCCATGCTTGTTCATATACTACCGCGTCCAGACAGCTGGGAGAATCCTGCTCAGTGTCCCTCGAAAACCTGGCCCCGAGTTCATGCTCGTTTAATTACCTTATCCACTGCGCCCAGCAAGCTGTTTGAGATATCTGAGTTCGGTCGCGATACGATGTGTTCCTGGACTAGAGACGACACCACAGCGCAGGGATCCAACGGGTGCGTCGCAGCCCCCTACCATCCCCCATCCCACTATAGCATCAGTGGTATTATAGCCGGAATCAGACCCGGCGCCCGCTGTGGTGCACTGAGCTAACAGGCCTAACGGGCGATAGCACCAGCTCTAGCAGCACCACCACCAGCGCCAGCACCATCGCCAGCGGAGCCTCGCCCATGCTGCAGCGCTATTTGCTGGACCAGTCCACGGGGCTTTCGGACAGGCTCATCCGGCAGGCTCATCAGCCAGAGTCTGCACCGCCGTCCAGTGTGCCCTTTGATGGGCTGTCGAGAGAGCTCGAATTGCTGGCGAAGAAGACGTAGGGATGGAGAGCGGGCGGGGACTTTTTCATGCATCACACATACATACATGCACACGCAGGCACACACACCACCTGCACGCGCGCAACACACACACATTCCGGGGTACTGAAATAGCAGTACTAATACCGTCTGTACCATAGCTGCATGTTCGCTGTATCTCCAGCATTTAGGCGCTGTTGCCTGGCACATGTAGCCGAAAGGCCTTTTGGGACGGGCACAGCGGGATCAGCCAGCACTGATTGGCCATCCATCCACTTGTACATAATATCTCAGCTGGCCATTGAGCACAGCAGACACAGAGGCAAAGAACTCTTGTGTGTGACAGTCGAGGAGGGGCAGATACAGGCATAACTGAGCTAATAATACTATCATCCTTCCGTTTATGCCACCTCGGTCAACCCTTTGCGCGTTTTTAGTCTACGTTGTCTGATGTCGCGACCCTCACCCATCAGCCCGTGCCTGTCCCTCCTCTGCCACGCGAACTGCCCGTCGTTCGCCTGGACCTGGTAGTCAGGCAACCTTCCGTCTGGTCGCTTCAGTGGGAGGATACCTCCAGATGTAGATAGATGGGAGGGGCGGGCACGGATCAAAGGGGTGGGCCCATTGTATGACCAGGACCGTTCCGCGACCTACTCTGGAACTCGAGGTGTCAGACGTTTCCATTTAGCCCAGAAGAGCCCAGCTCTGGATCAGACAGGCAGGTGAGGACCGTCCCGGGACTGTGAGCCTTGTCTGGGGTGGGGAGCAGGAGGTGGAGGCCAGCCATGGGTGCGAAGCCTTGATCCCTGCTGCTCCCCCTTCCCTTGGTTGATCCATCCACCCCAAACGTGCCTCTCACCTATCCCTCCTGGCCATTCCCCTCCTTCAGCTGGTCTGCCTACCCGCATTGCATGTTCCCTGGCGTGTGCTTGTGTTCTGTTCTGCTCATTTGTCGGTCCCTCTTCTCTCTCTTCCACCTTCAACACCATCCCAGACCTGAACCTGAGAACGGCCAGATTCCACATTCTTTTGCATCAACCAGTCTCTCCTTCATTCATTCGCTGCGGCCAAGAACGCCTTGACGGTGAGAGACGTCGCCGTACCAACACACAGCTCGCCGCCTGCCACTTTGCTTGGGCGCATCAGGGCCTTACTCACGGATGACCGCGAACCACCACCATCACCACCGCTGTCACCACTACCCACCAGAACCAGAACCAGCAGCAGCAGCAGCATCATCGCTAGAAGCAGCAAGTAATCCTCACTCAGTCCCGCTGCCATGAGCTCCGAGGACGAGCTCCACGCAGCCACCGGGTTCCACCAGCTGCCGCTGCGCATCCGCGACAAGGCCAACGGCATCAACGGGCTCAACTCCCTCCACAAGATCACCGTCGAAGTCCCCAGCCGATCCCTCACCGCGACCAACAACGCACCGGGCCACCACTCGCACCATCCCTCGCTGTCGACCGCTCCCTCGCGCCTGCACAAGCGCTGCCCCGAGTCGCTTCAGTTCCTCACCAGCAATGCGCGCCTCCGGTCTCCCACCCAGTCGTCCATGTCCAGCATCCCGGACTCGGCCACCACCTACTCGCACTCGACCTTTGCCAGCCCCGTGAGCTCCAGCTACGCCAGCGACCTCCAGGAGTTCTTCACCGGCTCGCGCCCCTCCAGCCGTGTCTTCCACCGCCACAAGACGTCCGTCACGACCTGCTCTACCCTGATCAACGATGAGGACGAGACACCCGTCGTCCACAACATCAGCGACAAGATCGACCAGTATCGCAGCGCCGGAGACGTCACGCCGCGGTCGGCAGATGAGATTGAACCCGTGAGGTGAGTGCGCATTCCTGCTTTCCATCTGTTGAAGGACTGACCAATTGACCCAATTCGCAATGTAGCCCGTCGACAACCGAAGCGCCGGAGAAGGAATTGCCCCCTCTCCCCCAGGACGAGGACGACTTTGACGATCGCCGCCTGACCCTGACCCTGACCAAGCCCTGCCCCCCTCTGCCTGGGCCAGAAGAGCTCGAAGACGACGAAGAAGACGAGGAGGAGGAAGAGGAGGAATCAGCTGCGGAGAACTGGGAGACTGCCTCGGTCCTGTCCTTTGACGACTGCGACCCCGAAGAGGCCGATGCAGTCCTGGACTTTACCATGCAGATGGTCTACGGCGTCGACAGCAAGGACGCATCTGTTCTCCCAGCCAAGTCACGAGAGATTGTCCAACGCTTCATCCGTGACCTCGGCCAATGCTTCTGGCAGGCACAGGCCTCTCCGGACTCCAATAGCAACAACATGTCGTCGAGCGCATCGTCGTCGCCCGCGGCCAACGGGGCTGCCGGGGACTCGCAGCGTGGCGGCAAGCGGAAGAAGAAGCAGCAGCAGAAGGGCGGAGCAGGAGGCGAAGACGGGGAGGACATGAGCGAGGGTGAGGGCGAGGCTTTCCTGCCAGCCAAGAAGATGAAGCCGACTCCTCGCGACGAGGATCTGCGCCTGAGCTGTCCTTTTAGGAAGAGGAACCCAACCCGCTTCAACGTGCGCGATCACCACTCCTGCGCCATGACCTTCTTCCCCAAGTTTGCCGAGCTGAGGCAGCACATTGTCAAGCAGCACAAGAGGGACGACCCCTCGGCCTTTGTCTGCGACCGATGCAACCGCGACTTTCCCACCAGAAAAGAGCTCCGGGATCACCAGCGTCTGCCTAGAGACCAGATGTGCGAGATCTCCGACTCGGACCCGGAGAACGGCATCGACGGCCCAACTGCCACCAAGCTGCTGAGCAGGAAGCGAACCAGCGGCTCGTCGACTGAGATCCAGTGGAGAGAGATCTGGAACATCCTCTTCCCTGACGATGACGACAACATAATCTATGAGTACCGTATGTATTGCCTCTTAAACTCATCGTATTTTGATATAGTAACTGACCCCTGTCTTAGACTTTACCCCTGTTATTGAACACTTTGAGCTGCAAAACACCTACCTCGCCTCGTTCGAGCTCCTCAAGTCGTCTCTGCGGGACAAGATCTCCAACCCCGCCACCCTCGAGACTCTGGCCGCCAAGTTTCACGAGTGCTTCATCGAGACCGTCATGCGCTGCATCGCCGAGGCCCAGACCATGCCCTACGCCAACCGCAGCAACAAGCGCAGCGAGCAGCTCGCCTCCGCCTCTGCCGCCCTGAATGCCCTCACAGCCCCTATCGCCATCGCGGCCACACCGGCGGCCACCATCGCTCCCACCCAGACGACCGCCACCGTCGCCCGCAAGGTCCGCGAGGTCCTCCCCCGCCCCGACTCGGGCGTCGTCATGACCGACGACACCTCCGAGGAGAGCGGCAGCGTCATGGGCAGCAACACCCACCGCGAGAGCATCCGCACCGCCCGCTCCTCCCAGCGCGGCAGCAGCCTGGCCCCCCGCCCCAAGCACCTCTCCTCCCAGAACACCCACCGCTCCTCCGCCACCTCCTCGGGCGTCTTCGACGGCTCCTTCACCCTGCCGCACCACCTCCAACAACAAGCCTTCCTCGCGCCCCAGCCTGCCACAACTACCGCCCCGATGAGCTTCGACTCGGGCTACATGGCCCCCGTGGACGTGCAGGCGTGGACCAGCGGCGTCCAGCCCCCGACCTCGTCGGCGACGCACATGTACCACCACAACATCCCGGAGAACGAGATCGCGCCCCCGCCTGTGTTCCAGGACATGGGCATCCCCAGCGACCTCGGCGCCGCCTGGGCGCAGCAGCAGTTCTACGCCGGCGGCGACATGGGGCTGGAACCCATGGGGGACGAGTTTGCGGGATTCCACAACGGCCGGTAGAGACTACTTCTGCGCCGCAATAAAGTAAAATTTAATAAACAAAAAAAAAACAATTTTTTACAAAACACAATCAGAGGGCCTAGAAACAGTGGGTTTGGAGCGAAGCGCCTCTGGAAGGCTGCTGCCCCTGGGATGGATAATTTTTATACGAAGCGGTTAGTATTGATCTTTATTTTTACGTATATAACAACTACTACAACGTTGGAGCGTAACGTGGTTGGGGTAAACGCACACGCGATTTGGGACAATTGGGAAAGAAGGGAGATCTTGTGCAAACAGGTTTTTGTATTAATAGCTAGACTTATCCCCCTTTTGTCGCAGAAGAATTAACTTGATGACCGGCGCGCCTCCCTTGGGAGGCGTGGGTTGCATTGACATGTATGAGTGGCGTTTTGCTTGTGATGATTATATGTTTATATTACCCGGTGCTGGTGGTTGTTTGGATGCTTTTACGCTTGAATACGAGGCTGCGCTTAGAAGACGTATGTGAACATACACATTCAGTGCGTCACATCCTTGGTTCGAAATCGGTATATCTTTTTCGAGCACTGGCGTACTGTCCTTGGACATGACAGCACATATTACCCCGACCATGGAGTTGTCTTGTGACCGAGACATCGACATGATGGATGGATGCTCGCGTCGATATCCCGGTCCAGGTAAATCTCCCGAACGATCCCCATCTCAGTACAGGTTCTCTCGTTCTCGTGACTTGGCGGTTCTGATAACCGGAACTCGGGTTGTAGATTATGGTGAGATTGTGTCTAGGCGCCATGCAAGCTGTAAGATTCTCGATTACTGGGTGTATGTGCAGCCCCTTCTGTTGGACTAGAATACCCCGATTTTGGGACGCACGAGCATGACCGGCCCGAAGAGACAGGTGACAGTGGCCTCGTTCCAGCGTCAGCATGGGAACTCTTGAATGGTTTGTTATTTAAGAAGCAGGATAGACTCTAGATTCGTGTTCACTGTCTTTTTAACATTACACACCTAGAAAACATAAGTTGCAGACTTCCAAACACAATGACTCTCTTCTCCTCTAAGAACGACGAGAGTCTTACAGACCTAGAGTCCAAGATGGGGCCAGGCAAAGTCTCCGCGTCAGTTGACACCAAGGCGTTGATCTCTCAGCTGAAGCTTATCGCCAGTGATCCATCAGTCCTGAAGGGGCTTGAGGATGGCGAGAGGCTGCAGTTGAAGCAAGTTGCTCGCTCTGCAGCCGATGCTCTGGAGACCCCCTTCGAGACTATGGTCCGCATTGTATATTCGGTGGGTTTTTTAACTGACCTGGCTCACCATTTTATTGCCGCTTTTCTTTCCCCTCCTTGACTCTGATTCAGTATAGTGGACAAGATCAAGCTAACGCAGTACCTCAAGCCTCTGTTGCTGGTGACAGCTCGAATTGGCCAGGATCATGGAATATTCTCCAAGCTCTGTGCCACGGCGGGCCCCGTCTCCTTGGGTGAGCTCTTGACAGCATCAAAGCTTCCCTGTGATACTCTAGAGTCCATAATGGACTCTATATGTGCCCGAGGAATGGCTCGCCGACTGGAAGCGCAGGTTTTTACTGCCACACCTGTCACTCACCTGTTGTCCTCACCGGAGCTCCGGGCAGCCCACACCCATTAGTACGTCCTCGCATCCGGAGTAACACGTTGGGCTAATGTAACTGATATGAGCTCCGTCTCTGTAGCCACGATTCCGTGCTCCCAGCTCTCACAAAACTCAAAGACTTCCTACACGATCCACACGGCCCGCGCACCGCATGGCAGATGGGCCACGACACGGACCTCAGCTATTACGCCTGGCTTGACGCTCATCCTGCCCGGAAGGAAGCGTTCCACATCTACATGGAGGCGCATGTCATCGGCCTCCCGACGTGGCTGGACGTGCTCGACTTCGAAAAGGAGTTTGCGGCCGGCGCCCGAGCCGACGACGTGATCTTTGTGGATGTTGGAGGGAGCAATGGCCAGCAGTGCGCGGCGTTGAAGGAGAGGTACGCCGGGCTCCCTGGCCGGGTCATCCTACAGGACCGGCCTGCGGTGTTGAATAGTGCGCTTGAGGTTCAGGGGATGGAGAAGATGGGTTATGACTATTTGACGGAGCAGCCGGTAAAAGGTATGCTTAACATATGATTGTGTGTCCAAATCGTTGATGATACTAATGCAGGACTTAGATTCTCGCGTCCTTTATTTCCGGCAGATACTTCACAACAATGACGACGAGACGTGCAAGAAGATACTACGGGCTCAGCTATCGGCCATGGGTAGCAATACTGTCCTCGTGATCGATGACAAGGTGCTTCCAGATCGTGAACTGCTCACAGATACCGTGGAATCCGAGTATCAAGCATCGCTAAGCTTGGTTATGAGGGCCCTCTTCAATAGCCAAGAGCGGAGGGAGGCGCACTGGAGGAGACTTGTGGAGGAGGCTGGGTTGGTGGTTAAGGAAGTACGAAAGTACACAGATTGGGATGACGCGGTCGTTCTCTGTGTCAAACAGTAATGGGATAGTACGATCAGATCATGAGTCGAGCCATGAATTTACGCTTCAATTCCTGCATCTAATCTCAAATTCTAGGGACATGTCGTTAAAATTCGTTTCGCGCAAAGCCCATAAATCGTATGTGCAATAGGTTGGTCACCACCATCTTTCCTAGCCAGTGGACCGGACCTCTGTGGCCGCAAGTATGATACTTGCGACATCCATGAGACGAAAGCACATGAAAAGTGCATTGGATCATACTCGTATTGGGTACCTTGTCAAGGTATAATGTCGATCTTGGTCCTTGGCAAGCGATACTGGCAGGATCGCCCCTGTCGTGTGATTGCTCTTCCATTCCCAAATGGAATGTATGCACATATTGCCTGCGTGGTCTTTATTCCTGTCGCTTGGACATCGCGGGCCCCCTCACATAGGGCGGGGGCACCTCCCCAACACCACCGACCATGCGCTCCTCATTCGGCTCGATCCTCTCATAGTCGGGCAGAGCATTGTCCGGACTGGCCTCACTCCAGGTTCCCAGGAGGTCCTCCGGGGGCATGTTCGCCTCCTGCGCCAGCTGGGCGAACCGGTTCGAGTACTCCCTCAGAGTGTCTTCGCCCTCCGCCAGCCATTCAACCAGCTGGTCGCGACGCTGCTGCACCTCGTCCCTGGTGCCTGTCTCAGCCGGGGCAACTCTGGGGCCGGACGAGTATGGCGGGACGTCTGAGGCCGAGTAGGCGGGCAGCTCCGGGTCGTTTGCTCCCGCGCGCGCAGTGTCTGGGGGCGCGTAGAAGTCGCTTGCTGCGTCGACGCTGGCCGTGTGGCCGTATCGCTGGAGCCAGAGGTTGTGCTCGCGCAGTGCCGCGCGCAAATGGTCGAGCTCCAGGGCGAGCGCCGGGATCAGGCGCTTGAGGTCGTTGTATGCAGATTCTGCCTCGGCTCCGGAGAATTCACCAGACGACATGGCTGCGGTTTCTAATTCTGAGCGAGCACGCAAGAGTTTCTGTAAAATAAACTGATGTTGTTTTATATACCGGCAGGAGAGGAGAATTCAGTGGAAGCAAATAGCAGAAATCGACGGTCGTTAATTGCATCACGTGTAGAAATAAGCCTGCTTTAGTAATCTGCGGTAATGCGCTGGAGAAGTCTGATTAATGTGCACTGCCTCACTGCTGCGTAGATCACTCTACTCTGAGAAGATATATACGTAGACCTATATGCACCTCGAAAAGAATATAGCTTAATATTTTACGTCATATTGATATCAGTGAATGCTCACTTTCATTTCAAACCGGACCATTGTATTGGTCCATAGGTACGTAAGGGAGGTACTCAAAGTTGATGACTTGAGTATTACACTGCGCAGAACTAAGATGTAACAGCTGGTCTCAAAGTGCACCCCGCAAACGATGTGTGTAGATAAAATTGTATATCTAGTCGAAGGGAAACATGTACTAGAATAAAGGAAAATAAATCAATAAAATTATTTTGAGCAGCGAGTAATTGGCTAATCGCCTATGAATATTTGTATGTGTCTAATACCTGTAGCAATTAATTCATCTCTCGTCGCAGCCGGTAACTTGCTCCGAGGCATCAAATCACCCCTCCATAATTCCCCCACTTGACACCCGTCAAATGAGATCACCACAAGGCATCTGGTGAGCTATTATTGATCTCTTTCCATTCACTCTACTCGAGCACCACATCATCTCCCAATATCATCATGGCGTTACCTGCACTCCCCCGCCTCGCCGACCGGCTCACCGTGGTCTCCGTCAAATCCAAAACCGCCCTTCCCGACACTACCGTCGCCGTGCCCCTGATCCAGCTGGGCCTCTACAAGATGAGCGGCAGGGAGGCCCGAGAGTCAGTGGGAGAGGCCCTGGCCGTGGGCTACCGCGGCTTCGACTGCGCGCAGATGTATTACAACGAGCGCGAGGCCGGCCTGGCCATCAAGAACTTCCTCGCCGGCCCTCAGAACACCCAGGGCCTGCGCCGCGAGGACATCTTCTACACCTCCAAGCTCGCCGAGAACGAGACCTCGTACGACGCCGTCAAGCGCTCCATCGCCCAGTCGATTGAGGCCTGCGGTCTGGGCTACATCGATCTGTTCCTGCTGCACAGTCCCTACGGCGGGAAAAAGGCGCGCCTGACGAGCTGGAAGGCCTTGGAGGATGCGGTGCTGGAGGGGAAGGTGAGGGCGGCGGGCGTTAGCAACTATGGCGTTGCTCATGTGAGTTTGATTTGTTTCACTGTCCATTCCGGACGATTTTCTTCCTTTTTTTCTATTGGGTAATGTGACATTGGCTGACGAGATTTTGTAGATTGAGGAGCTCATGAAAGCAGTCGAGGCGTCCGACTCCGGAGTCAAGCCTGTCATCAACCAGATTGAAGTCCACCCTTTCAATACCCAGACCGGGATCCGGGACACTTGCAAGAAGCATAGCATTGAGATCGAAGCGTATGCTCCTCTCGTGGCAGGGATGCGTATGGGGCACCCCAAAATCGCCTCGCTGGCAAAGAAGTATGAATGTACTCCAGCACAACTCCTCGTTGGGTACGTACTCCACCACTTCCCATTTATCCCTCGGTACCTGTGTGATACGTGAATAAGACAGATGCTTACAAGAGGCTATGAAATGCAGATGGAGCTTGGAGCACGGGATGGTAACGCTGCCGAAAACCTCTCGGTCCCAACGCCTGATTGAGAATGCCGATGTGTCTTCCTTGAAGATCTCGGAGGACGATATGAACAAGCTGGATGCACTCGACGAGAGACTAGTCACAGACTGGTGAGTACCTTTGGTTTTCTCTCCACTCCACAAGGAACTTTCAGTTCTAACATCGCTTATAGGGATCCTACTGAGTGCAGGTAACTGCAGTCGTAAACATTCACACCGGTAGCAAGGGACTACGCAATGAAGACTTGAACGAGAAATAACAATCACAAACTAGTCTATCCAAAAAAGCGTCTACTTGAATCAGACTCAGACCTAGCCCCCAGCTCCGTGAATCTAAAGACATTGGTAGTACCACTGGTCCTTGCGCGTGCATGTCAGTCCATCCGCACAAGTGTAGCTACCGTTCCAGGTCTCTCCGCCGCACTGGGCAAACTTGGCACCTGGCGTCGGGGTCGAAAGAGCGAGGATACGCGAGGCCGCGTGCTCCGAGATGGTGACGATGTAAGCGGAGGGGTTGGTCGTGATCATTCCAGGGAAGATGGAAGCATCCACGACAAAGAGGTTGTCGGTTCCCCAGACCTTGGCGTTCAGGTCGACAACAGCGTCGCCTCCGGAACGGCCATCTTTCGTGCCAATCTTGTTACTGCCGATCCAGTGGTTGGCACGACGGTTTGATGTAGATACAAGCATCTGCGACGGTGTAAGTAAAAGGTATCAAAGTAAGGTGTAACAGCCGAGAAACTAGTTACCTCGTTCACGTAATCGCGAGAAGATTTCCCTGGGGCAGGAGAGAGCCAGGTGAGATTGGCAACACCTGACAAGGCAGACCGAAGGTTGTCAATTCCCTTGATGACAGCTTCGATGTCATTCGAGTCCTTGAGATACGGGACGTCAGAGACAACTGTGTTCAGGCTGCTGGTGATGGTCATGCGGCCTCTGGACTTGGCGCCACGGCCGAGGTACTGGCTCATGGTGATGGCATCTGGTCCATTGTTAGCCTGCATTTAGGTTCAAATACATGATTTTCCTCTTATACTTACGTGGATCTTCGTGGCCGAGACTGGCTTCAACTCGGGCAGTCCATTGCAGCGAACGGACAATGTTGTCGGCACCGAGGATCTCGTCGAAGAACACTGGACCAATATTCGGGGCAGCTTGTGCCAGGATACCAGACCGCTTGTCTGTTCATAATATTAGTAATGGTTCTAGTGAGTTTCGCTTATAGCTTGGACATACTGAGATAAGCGTCCTTGTCTGCTGTGATGGGGTTATCCCAAGCTTCGTAGAAGTCATAGAAAACAGCACTGGGATGGCTGATGACGGTATCGGTCTACCTCAAGTTAGTGACCATGAAAACCAACGCAAACGGGCACCGTGACATCTTACATTGGTATGATCCTCCAAGTTACTACCGACTGGCAGATTGATCCAAAACTCTTCTTTGATATAAGTTGCGCCATCTGCAGTTGATCCATTGACGATGGTGAGTTGATCATCCGGTCCGATACCACCTATAAGAAACAGACAAGTTAGAATTCTCCGCAACTTCAACAATCAAGAGGGTTTGAGTAGATGCACATACTTCTCAGCAGAATCTTGGCGCTGCCAAAGGTACCAGCAGAGAGGATAACTCTACCAGTATTCTTGGTCAGGGGCACAGTGCCGACGTAGCCATTACCAGCATAAGGCTCAACTTCAACGCCAGTGACGTGCCCCCTTTCGCGAACGACACGCTTGACCTGAGTGTTGGTCCACATGTCAAAGTTGCTTCGCTTGTTCGCCGATCGCAGATACGTAGCAAGCGGACCACCTCGCTCGCCACCTATAAACATGTACGGACCATCCGTATACGTACGGTTCTTCGCGTTCGGGTTGGCGATGGGATCGACTTCATTCCAACCGGCAGACTTGAGACCCTGGGACACAATGTTGTAACCTTCAGGGAGGTAACGCTTGCCGTCCTGCGACGGAACCCTTGTACCAGGGATACGGGAGAAGACTCGCTGAGCGGCGGCTGCAATGTCCTTCGCCTTCCACCCATCAGGGAAGTTGTAGTCCCAGTCTGCGTCCTTGGGTTTCCACCAAAGACCGGCATTGATAGCAGTGCCGCCGCCGAGGAGACATCCGGCCATCTGGTCAGTGTCGAGGCAGGCGATTCCGGAGGAGTCGGCCCAGATCTGGTTGCAGAGACCGGGAACGTCAAATCGGGTGAGGGATGTGCCCTCGAGCCATGACGGCTTGAGCTTGCCGCCCCATTCTCCTGTGGAGGGGGGTCCCTTCTCGATGAGCAGGACCTTCTTGCCAGCTTCGCTCAGCTTGTCGGCGATGGGCAGACCGCCAGCACCGCCACCGATAACGACGTAGTCATAAGCTGTACCCGTGGGGACGGGAGTGCCTGTAGGGATAATGGTCGAAGACGTTGAAGTGGGCGTGGGACCATTGTCGCAGTCCCCAGGGACGACTCCCGTGGCCAGAGCCTTCCAGGTGTCATAGCTCGGGTTGGCAATGTTGTCAGTCAACGTGGCCCCAAAGATGCTCTGGGAGGTGTGTTGCGTGAGAGTAATGTCCGCAGGACAGGCGCCATTTCCAGGGCTGGCATTGTGGAAGGCCCAGCCAAGGAGCCAGAACTTGCTGCTCGTCTTTGGGCCACCAGTTTGGCCGTTGTGGTTCCATGACAGACATCCGACACAGCGATAGATGAGCTCGTAAGAGTCAGCGCTAATCGTTGAACGGACCTGTGTGACTTCTGCCGTGCCAGCATAGTTGACAGGAGTCTCGTAACCAGTAGCCCAATTGAAGGCAGTGAGAATCTTTCCCTCGTGAGGGTAGGCTGTGAGAAGGAGGTTGTTGGTCATGGTGCCTCCTAGGGAAAGGCCGCACCATCCAACGCCCTCGCCAGCTGGAGAGTTACATTTCTGTGCATTGTTAGTAAGATAATCTTAGAATGGTAATAGATACCAACGCACCAGGTAGCCAATGTACTCGGTAGCATCAACAGTCAAGGCGTCTGAAGGAAGAGCAAACCCGAATGTCATGCCAGCACTCGCAGTCCAGGTATCAAAAACAATTCCCGTAGCTGGGTCAGTATAGGGTGTAGGGGTTGAGCTTTGTGCAGCAGTATGCACGGCATCTTGTCATGTGTTAGTGGGAAGCGATTGGAGAAGCATTTCTGGAGCTGGACTTACACTGTGCCAAGGCCAACAGCACCGTCGGCAGCTTGAATGACCACATGATGACGATCTCCTGTCTTCAACCTGTCAGATCAAATCATTCAGTAGCAGAAGGCGTGGGGAAACAGGAGAGAGCCATATGGCACGCATGTATGCAGATATATATACAGTATATGAGAGTGGATCAGCCAGTAGGGCAAGGATAGAAAAGAGTGCCCAGATCACCGAATTGGAATTTGAGGTATTCCAAATCTGAGACGTATGATAGGAGGAACTAGGACCAGGCAATCTCCGCAATCTAACCCTGTGCTGGCAGGTTAGACTTTTGTCTCCGGGTAATTGCTAAACAACGGTGTCCCACGATCTCATCTAGATGCTGCATGGGCCCGTACGGTCCTATCTAATGCTGAGAAATAGCTTTCGTCACACTGGCAACGTCTCAATTGAGCAATCAGACCGGTCGGTCCGCTAAATGGGGACATTCCTTCTGTTCTCGTGACCAATATATCATCCCTCAACGGGCAGTCGGTTTTCTTCATCTCACCTCTTCCTGTTAGTTCCATGTTGCATCCGAGAAGGGAAACGGAGCTCTGTGTCCGATCTTGGTTAAAGGGGGATATCTGAGACGCCGCCCGGCACTGCGCACCGGATTTCCATATGGCGATCAGGGGTGCTCAGTTTCCCCCTCCCGGATCCCCGTTGAGTTTGGGATCTTGTACCTAGCGGCCCATCCACGCACCGGAGGTCTTAGCAGAAGAGGCGAGGGTGTTACATAAAACTCCCAAGTTCCGTGAACAGACTGGCGGAGGCAAATCCCTTGGCGGGGGCACGGCGCTCAGCACAACGTTTCAACTGCAACCCCACCCCCAGACCCATGAGATTTGAGGGGAAAACGTGGCCCTTGGCGGTCTGGTCTTTGGTTTCGGATGAGACCCTACTCTGTTCTGGGAATCGAGTCGTCCTATCACCCTCAACCAAACTCCCACTAGTTCTAGAAAATGTAGCAGTCGCCGAAGAGACAATTTCCCAACTTTCTCTCTTGGATAAACTCCTTTGCGCATTTTCACATCATTTATAGGCTTGTTAGGCCTTCTCTGCTGTGTATCAAGGACGACTCTAATGGAGGATCTCTTCTAATAGCGCTAAATAGCCTACGTGTTGTTAGTGCGGTCTCTTCAATTCAGTATCTGATTGAGTTGAACTTCTATGGCTAATTTTGCCATTGGTAAATTGGTTCTCGCCCTGCCCCCCCTACCATTGAGATAGAGCTACCCGGTCGCAAGAATGTGCAGTCTTGTTTCTATGTTCTGGGCTGGGAATCATAATCAATGTCAACTCTAGCTTCCCCGCAAGCATTTCACCTATTTCCAACATGTGAAACACATGTTCTTTGACTTAGAATTCCATATGACCCGAAATGCACTCGCATGTGTAATGGGCCGCCATTTCTTTTCCACTCTTGACGTCGAAGGTCAAAACTAAACAGTTATCTATGCACCAATCATCAATGCACAACGAGCTAACTGGGAACCGCTCACTCCTCCTTCGAAGAGCATGGATTCTCTTTTCCAAAGGTGAGCTAGACTCCCCAAT